ATCAATTGATCTAAAGCTAAACCATTCCCTTTCACTGTCCCTGCCCTCCCCCCTTCTCCACCTCCTCTTTCCCCAAAAAGAAAGGTGAAGAGCTTGCTTGGTTAATGTCTTTCCCCAAACACAGAACAATGATATATTTTATTGGCTATTTCTTGGCAGTTGGAACACAAACCATATACAGACTCAATCAGGCCATTCAAAAGGAAAATGGCAAGCAAAATAGTGTTTCCACAGAAAAATACCCTAACCAGCCACCTGCTCAACAGTTTCTAGAATCTTGTTTGTTTTCGGTTTTATATCTATCTATCTATCTATCTATCTCAGATGAGAGGATGGACAGTCCCTTGAATTTTGTTCTTGTAAGATGGAAAGAAAAAAGGCAGACGGCAAAAGAAACTCAAAAGGCCCCCAAATAGGCTGCATTATTATGGAAAATGATACAGTGCAGAATCAGAACTTAGACATGGAGTTGCTATCTGGTACTACCTATTCCCTCCCAATTATTTTGATTTTGTATTGTCCAGAGAGTTGCAGAGGGGTTTCCCCTCAAAAGTAATCACTACCTGGACAGTAGGGACTGCTCCCTCCCTCCCCCAAAGCAACGTAGATCATAAAACTTAGGGCTCACAAAGAAGAAACTCATCAGGATGGCACCTTTTTGCCAAACTTCCTTCCAAAGCAATCACTACCTGAACAGATGGGTTGGAAAGTTTGAGGGATAAAGTTAAATCAGTATTGAAAAGATCATTCCAGTATGGTCCTCAGTTCTATGCACAGATCATTCCTCTGAATCCAGCTTTTTACAGACACCAACACTAAGAATTTGGAAAGCAACTACATATTTATTTCCCTCTCAATTTACAAGATAGGTAATAGGAATACAATCTTCATTCTTTGGCTAAAGTTGTTTTAATGAATGTTAAGACAAAACCCTTGGGAAATCAAAAAAACCCCAGAAAATAACAAGAGTTAAAGCCTTCCTCTAAAGCAGGGTTGTTGGTCGTAGCCATGTTGGTTTAACAACATAGACAGGCAAGGTTCTTTGGGTAGATGTAATATGTTTTATTAGACCATATTTGGAAACATGTTCCTTGCAAGCTTTCAGGCACAAACACCCTTCTTTAGGCATGTGTTGGAAAAACATTTTTCCAACTATTTACCTGGTCTAATAAAAGATATCACATCTACCCAAAGAACCTGCCTTGCTCTAAAGTAGTGATTCTCAGTCAGGGAGCTGGAGCACGCTGGGGTGCCACAAGAGCCTTTGAAGGGTGCTGAAGGAATTGTGAAGAAATAAGCAGATAAGGGAAAGATCAGGTTCCCCCTGCCTGGTTGTTCCTCTGCCCCATCCTCTTCCCCACCTCACTCCCTCCAAGGACGTTACCACTGCAATAAATAAATTGATTTTTGAAATGCAGTGCTGTTCAATTCACAAAAGTTATGGAGGGGCGACTTGAGTCTAAAAAAACCCCAAGGACCACTGCTTTGAAATGCAGGGTAAAATCAGCCTAATATACCCATTCTCTACTATGGGGATGTTCCAGCCACTGTGGGGGAAAAGAGGCTGATGGCAAGTCATTCAGCCATCATGGCAATCAGTCTGCTTATGAACTAAAAATAGCACATTCTATCAATTTTCTTTCCCTTTTAAAATCACCAGTCAAGATTTGGTACAGAATACTTAGCATCACTTTTTATGGAAATAAACAATAGCAATTTCACACTATTTGTGAATCTTCTTAATAAAATACTCCTGAACTTAGGTCATAGACAGACTCTGCACTCAGATTATGGCCATGGCCATGGCACTCTGACTATACTTTATAAATGTTTGTTTGGGGCAGCCAACATTAGTTCAGACTGTTGAAGATAACTTATTTTGTTGAGCTTTGTGTGTTGTATTGAATCAGATAAGAGGGTTTTTGACTGGGACTATCAGTTCTGAGGGTTCTTTCTATTTATGAAGTCTTATGCAATGCTAAGAGAAGCACTGAATATAGACCTACTATATTTGTTTAAAATATACTTGCAGACAGAAGCCAATGATTCCAAGCTTCTCGTAAGTGCATCTCCCAGAAGTTTGAAATATGATGCAGTTTAATATTACTTTTCAAATAAAAAAGGTACAAGAAAGTTAGGCTACAACCAAATAGATAACTGAGACAACAGAAGAACAGCTGAAAAAAACACAACAAGGCAAGGACACACAGCTGGCTGTCTCTCACACTTGGATGGTGGAAGTTAAATTACGAAGTATAAAGCTAAACATTAGCATGAAATATTTGGGATCTGGATCTTCCAGTCCAAGATGATGGCAACTAGATCGGAGAGGTAAATCTCTCAAATATTTATGCAAGAGTGAGGCACCTGAAGACACAGCTAGTCATGTGGAGGTATTTACAGGTATGCCCATGGATTTACTTCCATTGTAATGTGCCCTCATAGCTGCATTTTAAGGCATATAATTCTTTAAAAATTTGTCCTTTAGTGCTTATCGTAGATGTCTCTGTTAGGGAGAACAAGTCATTGAGCTATCAAGAAAAAAAAGATATGCCAGGCAAGGAGTTGAAACATGGAATCATGCAGGGGCGGAGGATCCAGACGGAGTGCAGTGGCACAACTGCATCCCCTTTTCAGACTGCACTGTGGGAGCCTTCAGAGACTGTTTCAAAGTTCTTAAAGCAGATGAAAATCCACCATTTCCTTCTTCGTGCTCAGAGGTTCCTCCCCTTCCCCCCATATCCCACCTGCTGCTTTTCCTACTGTCCTAGAGGTGTGGGAAGATCCCAGCCCCAAGTAACCTGGCTCTCACTTTTGCCTGCCCCAGCCAGGTTACTTGGGGCTGGGTTTTGGCTGAACTCAGCCCAAGGTTGCAGGGAGGAGAGGCAGGG